AGCGTTTAAGTGAAAAGCGCTTTTACAAGCACGCTTTTTTAAACGTACGTTTTAACTTTAAAGAGATAAGCACCTTTTCCATTTCAACGATTAACAACTACAAAAGTTAAACAGCTTATGTTTTTGAACGCTTTTAAACGCCAATGGACAAAATGTTAATTTAGTAATGTTATGTCAATTAAAAATATAACTCGTTTTTTTACAAAAAAACCTACTTATCATAAAACATTTAGTGGTCTACTCTTGCGTTTCGCTATCAACTCAACGTTGCAAGCTTTTTTTTACTTTTTTTAAATAATCGTTTTCTAAATGATTTTGTTAGCTTCAAACTAAAAAGCTTTTTTAAACGTTTAAAAAAATAAGCAGTTTTTCCCATCTCTACCTATAAGCCTATAGACACGTTTGTCGATTGAGTCCAAGGTGGACAGCAGTATTCCATACATGACCGGCTTGTGCTTGGTATAGCTGAAGCAACTGACCCGGTGTAAAGTAATGTCTCACCTTGGAAAGGATGCCAAGCTTCACGGCTGCAATTTTGGCCATGGATTCAATATATCTGCCGAAGTTGAGATTGGACGACAGGTCCATTCCAAGTAGCTGGAGACAGTCGGCTATCGGTATGGATATATCACGAAAAGTCGGAGGCAGACGAAAGTGTCTCCGTTTTGTGAAGAACAGACACGCCTGCGTTTTGGTAGCATTAAATTTTACAAGGTTGGCATCGCCCCAATCGAAGACTGCCTGAGTGTCAAATTGAAACGACTAACCGTGGCCTCTCGACAAGACTGGATTTCTTCTCCACTGACCCTTGCATTGGTCAAGTACCTGTCCACAACTGTCATCAGCATACGCAAAGGCACCTGGAATTAACATGTCATTGATATGCAGCAGAAAAAGAGTTGCGGACAGTACGGAACCCTGAGGAACTCCGGCGGCATCTATCGCCCAATATTCAGAAGAGTAGCCTTCTAAGACCACTCGAATCGAACGTTCACTCAAGAAATCCGAAATCCAATGGTAAAGGTCAGTGGGAAGTCCAAAAGAGCGAAACTTGCTTAAAAGACTTGCGTGCCAGACCCTGTCAAAAGCTTTAGAAATGTCTAAAGATACTGCAACGGCTTCGCCATGTCTTTCCATAGTCTCGCTCCATAGATGAGAGCTGTACACAAGAAGATCCCCAGTAAATCGCCCTCGTCGGAATCCGTTCTGGCGATTACAGAGGAGATCGTTGTATTCAAGGTACGCCAGGAGGCGGTTATCAAGTACACGTTCCGTAATCTTGCAGAGTATGGAAGTGACTGAGATAGTTCGAAAGTTGACAGGGTCTGCTCTGCTTCCTTTTTTGGGAACAAGTTACACGTTTGCAAGCTTCCACGAACTGAGAACTACACGAGTCAAGTGATAGGCAAAACAAGTGTGTGAAAACAAGAGACAACTCTGGCGCACAGTTACACAGGACTATTGCTGGAATACCATCTGGCCCGCTAGCTTTAATCACGCCTAGACTTCGCAGAGTTCTGAGTACCTCTTTTTGGTGCATGCGAACTGGCGCCATACTGCAGCCAGTGTGAGATAAAGAGGGTGATCGGTTCCTTGCGGCATCCAGACGCGAATTTTCTGCAAAGAGTGAGGCAAAAAGATTCGCCTTCTCTTCCGCATTATGAGCCAGCGAGCCATCCGGTCTCAGCATAGATGGTAAAGAAGGACGGCTAAACTTTGTTTCAACCGCTTTGGCTAGGGACCAAAAAGGCTTGCTGCCTGCTGGAAAAGAAGCAAGTTAGGTCCCTATGCAGCGCACATGGGCGAACTTTGCCCTGCGTAATGTTTGTTTTGCACTTCTTGGCGGCCTTATTAAAAGTTTTCTTCAGATTTTGAGCACTCGGAGCTTTGCCCGTCGAGCAGCTGCCCAAGCTGGGAACGCGACTGTTTTTGTGCTTAAGCACGGCTACAGTCAGCACTAAACCATGGACGAGCTTGGGGTCCATTGGGTACATTAGAGTATGATATATAATACTCCATACCTCAACGCAAGACCTAGATTACAGCATCAGCACAGCTCGACGAGTCTCTTGAAGAAAAGCAAGCCTGTCACGGATATGAAGCAAAGAAATGGCGCATTTCGTCGCAATCTACTAACCTGTATCGACACACCCGTCTCATACCACTAGAACCCTGACCGGGTAGGGAGTATACACGGATACAGCTTTCATCAGACACTGATCGGAAGTATCTAATGGGGCATCCACAACCACAGAGTATCGGTTTGGATCAGTTGTTAGCAAAAGGTCTAAGCAATTAGCCGTATGTGACTCAACATCTGGGATCCTAGTGGCGCCACTGACGAGCTGGGAGAGGCCTAGCGTTAACGCAAGTTTACGCGTCTCTTTTCCGGCGTGATCGGTCATCTGGTATGGGTACAACCATTCTTGATGGCGAGCATTAAAGTCCCCCACAATGACAAGTTGCGCCGCCGGGTATCTATGCTGAGCCTCATCGGACATCTCACTCAGATGTTGGAACAACTTGGTCGTCTCCTGATTGTCAAATCAATTGTCATATTCGGCGGCTCCTATAATCGTCTAATTTGAAGGCGCCCTTAGCTTCCGAAGCACTTTCTTCTTATACAGTTTCCTTGTTAATTACTAGTGGAATCTTACCTATATCCTTACATTCCTGTAATTGTTCGATGCTGTCGTCAAACATTCGTTTCAGCAGTACACAGACCTTTTGGTAAGCTTGAACGTTGTCTGCAAATAAATAGAAAATGTATTTATAAATATTTTGCCCAATACGTTTCTCTAGTACTCCGTCATCCGGTCAGTGCCGCAAGGTGTAAATATAATAATAAATCGAATATTGAAGAAGTGGCCAAACGGGTATAACAGCACTATAGATTTCTACAACGAATCGGCTATTATTAGTGCCGTGATGAAGTGGCTAGCAACCGACGTAAACAACATTTTGTAGCAAATTGACGACTTACGTTGGCTCAACGGTTTATACTGTGGACGCTAGACGGAGAAGATGAGGAGGTCCAGGGTTCGATTCCCGGTAGGACCAAATGTTGGGTTTTCTTGTAAAAGAGTTCGTCCAAGGAACACTGCCGCCTTACCTAGTTTTGCTGCCAAGCAGTGATCTGAAAGAAAGAAAGAAAATAATATTTATTTGTTCTCATTTCTTATAATTAGTAATATAATGTAAATCACCACTCAGCATTTGTCGAGTTGTGCAAGCAAAACAACCCAACGCTGATATTCTGTAGTGGCCAAGACATAGACTAATATAATATAATACTGGAGCCACTGGGCCAAGGTACGGAGCGGACGTCACTAACAATCAAGAACGAAAGATAACATAAATTTAAACATCAAAATGACAAAATCGCTTGACAAAGAAAAATATATTATAATAATAATTTATATATGTACTTATGATAGTATGAAACAATACTAAATCGTGAAATATATGACTATTAGTAATAATAAAGTAAGTTATAAAATTTATATTGTAAAATAAATAAAATCTGTATCTATTTCTCTTGTTAACGATTATTTATCAATCTTTATTATTGTCACTTGTATAATTAAATTGAGCACAAGTACTTTTTCAACTTATAATTTACAAAACGTGCATTCCCAAACTTACTGCTATTTAGGTGTTACAGACGGCCGAGACGCGCCTGGCCGGTCAGAGCAAATATGAGTAGAATTACGTAAATAATTCAGGGGTTCTGATTGGCCGCTCGGCGTCCGCGGCGTATTGATAGGGCCGGTACGGCGTAGAAGACGCTGCATATCTCGTATATTATAAGAGAATGTTAATTCGATTTCATTGATATTTGTGACTTGTTAAATTACGGAACTAAGTCAGATTGACATAGATCACGATTGTTAGAATAACGTATTCAATCATGAATAGAGGTGTATGCAGTCCGCTTAAGTATAAGAAACTTCAATAAACGGAAGATTACGAGTTTCATTGAAGTCTGGTCCGTTTTGAGACGGATTCAGCCGGGATCCAACATTAGTTATGACATTTATTTTGCCTATCTAATAAATACAGTTTAAATTTACGTACGAACGTGATAATTGTGGCACAGTTTCCAATCGGAGGAGGTATATTGTTCCAACATTTCGTTGCAGAATGACGAAAACTACCACGAAATGCTGCTGTACTTTATCTAGAGCAAACCTGACGAGAAGACAATCTAATTGTCGCGTTGCGAAAACGTGATTTCTCAAAGAGACACGACGTATTTTTATTTTGGATTATACCGGAAAGCAGTTTGCATAAAATTGGTTTTGTTAAGGTAAGGTTAAACATGTGTTCGGAGTGGAATTGAGAAACAAAACAGTGCGCAAGCGTTTTGGACACTTTTGGAATAAATTTAGTTTTCGCCTGCAAGCATTGTCCTATTACATATGTCCGCATAGTTGAGTTTAGTACAAAACTTTTAACTGTATAAACAATTTGTATATAGTATCTACTTACTACATACTGTTCGAATTTTAATTTGGCGTCCGTCACGATTCCCAGGTTACGCACCTCACATACTTGCACTATGCAAACTCCCCCAATTGCCAGCCCTGGATTTTGGTCGTTCATTTTACGTACCCGTGCTTTCAAACCCAGCACAAGGAATTTCGATTTCATTAAGCTTAAGTACGGCTACAGAAGCTTCACTTGTCCAGAATTGTACGGTACATTATATATGTTGATGGTAAAAATTAAATCAGCATTTAAACCTATTCGGCCTTCTTAAATAAAAGCATGCAAATACAATAATCAAATAATACACTGATAGATTAAGACTAAATGTAATAATATCAGTACAGAGTAGTACAAAAACCGACCTCAAAAGTAAGTGGAATTACATATAATTACCAAGTTTTATTGAAATCGATTAACCGGAATCGATTATACGGGACTTGGCACAGAAGATAATAAAAATCGGCTCTCACTACTCAAAGTATATTGAGAGAGAAAAACGCCTCGAATTGGAGAATAGCAAAATCAACCATTAAAATAATGGCTCCTTATAATAAAATTTAGGCGCTATTTACAAAAATGAATCTTCATGCGTGAACAGCCATCCTTAGAGGTGGATGTTTTTCTTTAAAATTAAATGGGAACACTATGGAGGTACCCTCTTTCCAATAAAAAAAAATCATGAAAATCGGTACACAAATACAGGAGTTATCGCGTAACATACATACAAAAAAAACCACCCGGTCGAATTGAGAACCTCCTCCTTTTTTAAGTCGGTTAAAAAACAATAATTAGAGAATAAATTAATAAATTAAAGTTAAAATTAAATTTAATACGAGATGTCATAATCGTGTATGTCATGATTTAACGTAAATAATAATAATTGTAAAGCTTGCTAATCCGTCAGATGAGACACGTAAAAGAGTAACTATTTTGTATATTTATAAGATATAAAATAGAGTATAATTTCTAACTACGCGATAACCCATTCCTTGTAAAAATGTGATCATTGCTCTCAGTGATAATTTTAGTCAATCGAAAGCGAAAATAATAAACCAGCGATTTTTCTAAATTATACAACATATACCTATCGTAACAATACACATACAGTCGACACTTAATCCTACTTTAGATTACATTGACAATTTTGACAATGCATACAAGTTGTCCATGAAGTAAATTATGCAAGATAAAAGTTATTATTTTATAATAATAGAAGTTAAATACAATTTAAATATGGCTAGGTGTAACATAATACTTAGTCGCGTTGACAACACCATTTCCTACTTTAAAAAATCGTGTGAAGTTCATCAAAAATGTTTGCATCAATTAATTTCCTTATATTTCATCAACTGAGTAGAACAAATAATCAAAGAGGCACCTGCGCAATTCCTTTTTGAAACTAGTCAATGGAAGAAGCTTAAAGCGATCTGTTATAAGACTAAAAATTTTTCCACACATAGTTTTGTTTTGGGTATTGTACGCACATCAAGCTTGACATTTTGTACCTCGGACCGTTCTTATCGTAAACGGCACTTTATTGGGGTTCCTTAGGCTTCAGGCAGTTACGACCTTCGCTGTTATGAATTTTGATAGACTTTGTTTCACAAATATACCAACTTCGAGTATGTACAGGCATGGGAGGGGCAATACTCTTAACGTTTTGAAAGGCGGACGACATGAGACATACGGCGCTACATTACAGACGGCCCGTATACATAACTTTTGACCAATAAAAACCTTCCCCGAGTATCGTATCTGAGTACAGATTCAACATTACGTAAAATAGGCTGTCAAAGCCGTACATTTATTCGCCAATTTGGACAATTTGTAGAAAGCTAACGCAAACCTATTTATTTTAGTACACACTTTATTAATTTGAACTTCCAATACATCTTTTGGTCTACAATGAATCCTAGAAATGTCGCATTGATATTGTTTCGCAAAACTTGTCCGTTATAATCTTTTATTAATCTTTATTAAAATTCATTACATTAGTCTTAGTTAAATTAATTTAAAGATTATGGTTTTTTAGTTATTCAATTAGTGATGTCAATGTTTTCCTTAATTCGTTTTTATGCTCTTCCGATGTTGATTTTATTGGAGAAGTGACCAACCACTGAAATATTATCCGCAAAAAGAATTGTTTCGTGTTCCATGCTATCACATACATTATTAATATATAATAGGAACAGCAGGGGACCAAGTACCTACTTTGGGGAATTCCGTAATGATTACTTTTAAAGTCAGATTTGTATATTTCGGTATAATTCTTTGTGTTTAGTTGGATTATTTCTACACACAGTAACCTATTTGTTGGATAAGATTTTAGCCAGGCTTGTGCCGGTCCTCGAACTCCGTTATGCTCTAATTTAGTCTATAATAGGTCGTGTGAAACGAAATCAAAAGCCCTAGACATGTCCAAAAATAACCCCGTTGTGTACAGTTTTTTATTTACATTTTGTAAAATCTCGTCAACTATGTGAAACACTACATGTGCTGTTGATTTGTTTTTCTGAAACCCATGCTGATTATCTTGTATAATTTTGAATCGATTAAAGTAAGATAATAGCTGGTTGTACGTGACCTTTTTAAATATTTTTGAAAACACTGGAATCAAAGTGATAGGTCTATAGTTAGTAATGTCTGTAGTGTCTTCCTTTTTGTGTAACAGTCTTACGATTGAGAGTTTTAATTTCTCTGGAAAAGTTCTAGTTTCTAAGGAGAGATTCACTAGAAAGGCAAGTACTCCGCCTATCTGATCTTTACACGCCTTAATAACTTTAGTACATATAGAGTCATAACCTTCAGATGATAGCAAACATTCTTGCTGTTTACGACGAATTTTTATTTGCCATTCTCTTAGAACAATGAATACACTTTTGAGTCATTTATTGTAATTCTGGTACATATGTCGATCGTTGTTTGTTTTGTGTGTGTAATAGTTAAAACGAAGTTTTCTATTTATAGTGCAGCATTTTTTTGAGGCCTCTTGTTAACCAACGTGATTTTAATGTTGATATTAATTTAACTTTTATTAATGGAAAGCAGAGTTTGTATAGGAGGCAGAATAATAATAATTATTATTTTTACCAGCAAAAACCACCAGAATGAAGACCAGCAATAACATCTGAAAAAATAAAACTAAAATTGTAAAATGGAAGGGTGAAGAAAGGCGCCTGACTCTCCAAATGCAATTTCGGCTTTTATTCACGTAGGTGTACGATTGACATAAGATACGTAATGACACTTATCCTCGATGTCAATTCACCGTCTCACGAGGTGGAAGCCGCAGCCGGTGGTCAATGATAATGAACGACGAATCTATGCGCTTTCATCCAAGTATCCCAACTAAGATAGAAGTACTAGAATATATAGGCCCTGAGATTCGATACAAAGCATTTTTTTTCTGAAGAACATTTTGCAGTTGAACGCTGATGGCCTTGACTGCACCACTGGATGAATGAGCGAGCTGAAGGCTCTTAATCTGCTAATCTAAAAAGTAAGTAGCGGGCCTGAGGGGTACAATCTCAACTTATTATGAAGGGGTTACTATGCTTGTTAAGAAGGTTGGATCGTGTGGTGGCAGCTTTTGCAGATACTAACTTGGAGCTGAGCGCCGATAATAGAGCGCAGTGTCGTCAGCAAAGAGGGCGAGATTTACAGACTGATACTTCGGAATGTCGCTATTGTACAGGGAGAATAGGAGCGGCGAGAGGGCAGAACCTTGTGGGACTCCGGCTCTTATGGGGATTAGGGGAGTAGAGTGCGCCTTCAACTCGATAGAGGAAAGAGCGATTCGACAAGAAGTCTCGAATCATGTGCACGTGGCGATCACGTAATACGAGATTTTGTCGAAACAAAATATTTCTTTAGAAGCTGTACAATCAATTCTTCGATGTGGCTAAGGCCTTCCGATCTTAGCCACATCGAAGAAGAGGGCGCCGGTGGGCATAAAACAGGGGCGATCGAAATATTCGGAGATATGCTCCACTATACGGCGTAATTGAACACTTCCAACACCATCTAGCAGCAAGGCAAGGTTACTAAATTGTTTCGTGTTAAAATATTTCTTGGGGTGTGGCGTTACAAAATTGAAATACTTGAAAATTACTAAGCTTTGGAGACAAAATAAAACTTACCCTATGTTCCATTGTTAACAATTTTCACCTATTATATAATCTACTACTAAGCTACGGGTATACTGGAACCGGGGAAACAATTGCCTTTCCTTATATATACTCGTATAAGATTGTTGCATATGCGTAATGATGTTGTTTCTGCAAATGTTATTATTAACAGGATACTTTTAAAAATATCCGATAACTATTTGTGTTTAACATTAACTAAAGTTCTGTGGTCTGGTTTGTTATTTATTAGTATAAATTTTAAATACTTTTTTGTCGTTATTAATATGGCTGAGGTAGTTATCCGATTTGGGAAATATACAACATTTTTAAGTGGACTCTGATCTTCCAAGAAACAGAAATCTAACAGAGAGACGGTCGAAATACAACAACGCTATAAGTATCTTTTTTCCACTACATCGGCAAGTATGCTTTGCATTTTTAACAATTGTGTGATCTTGTACTCGTAATAGAGCCTCCATAATATATACTACCTACGAACAGTAGCGAGCAACCGCTTCGAGTTTCGCCCTCCGCTGGACCTCGGGCTACAGCGTTGCTACTTTTGACTTTACTTTAAAAAATTATAGTAGGTCTTTAATGGAGGCCATATTTGAAAATTTCAAATATAAAAAAAACTATCTTGAATGTTAATTATTATCAGGCAATCCTAGAAATCTTTTCGTGCCAATTTTCATCCCGAGCAAAGCAAGTATTTTCGACTGCCTATTACATCGAAAAAACGGCGCAAACAAAATTATTTTGAAGTAGACGTAACGATTTTAAATCGTATTAAATAAAATTTCTATCTGCTGCCAAAAAACGTTTGTATAGCGGGCATATTGAAAAATGGCGAAAAATTGATCTTGATCACAAATTTTACAATTTACCCACATATATAAATAAAACCACATGCCAATTTTTAAAAGAATCAGAGCATTTTTTTCTGCCGCCAAAGAACGCTTGTATAGCGGCCATATTTGAAAATGTCTAAAAACAATTTTGACCAAATTTTTTATCCCGCACTCCTAGTGGTGTGGAGGCCCCACATGCCAATTATCAGCAGAATCAGAGCAATCTTTTTCGGTAGTCATTTTAATGAAAATAAGGAATGGCGAAAAATCTTTTGACCTCAAATTATGATTAAGGACTCCTAAAGACCTCCGCATGTCAATTTTCAGCTGGATCGAAGCAAGTTGTACTTCGGTCGCCATTTACAATTCGCCATCTTGAATTTTTTTCTACACAGGCCACTGTTACTGCCCATGACATTCCTTCCAGCACCTCCTACCTATCTCTAATAGAATCCGTGATAAGAGACTTTGAAATTTGTATGGAGGCCATCTTATTTATTTGAATTTCGAAATTTTTTTTCATCCGACGGAAATTGGCCGGGATTTTCATACCTCATATAAATGTACAAATATCCTCTCCATATGTTTTTGCAGACCGCTGATCACTTTCATATTTTCCACATTTAGGTCATTTCATATTTGATTCTTTGCTTTGATACCTATCCGCATACAACGGTATATACTTATATATTTTCCACCTTACCGGGAAGTAGGTAAGCATTCTATTTCTGTCAGTGAGTAAGAACCTTAGCTTTACACTACATAATAAATAATAAAGATAAGGGTAAAAATAACTTCATATTTTCCTTTTCAATAATTTAATTATATCCAAAACTAATTTATCAGGCGCTATCTTACATGTTTGGCTTAGTTTTCATATTGCTTCTTATTAAGTCGATATTTGTTCCCTTTCGGTTATCTTGTTAGAAAGTATTTAAAATTGTACTTAAAATTGAAGTAAAATATGAAACTATTTTTCCGGATTTAAATCGCGTATATTTGTTTTTTCAAACAAACTGTCCGACGTTTCGGGCCCTTTACAGGTCCCATGGTCACGGTAGAATGGGACCTGTATAGGGCCCGAAACGTCGGTTTGTATGAAAAAACAAATATACGTAATTTAAATACGGAAAAACAGTTTCATTTCCTATGTGTAACAATCGCGAAAACCTAAGAACACGATATCTTAGCAAATACACGGTAAAATATTACCGGTATTTTTACCATAACTGTCACGCTTTTGACAACATTTGTCCAAAAATAGTCACACTACAGACTATTATCAGAGGTTTCTTTTTAAATGCAACTGTGATCTGTGTTATAAATTCAATAGGTAAAATTAAATGTAAAAAATATGTATTTTTTCCCTAAAACTTTAGTTATATTCTAAACAAGATTGTATATTATATTATTAACAAATTAACCACAATACCAAACGAAACCATGAAAGGCATATCTAAGTTGGTATATTTTTGTTTGTGCTAATTTTTTTTAGATTTATTTGTTTATATACGTATTTATACTCAAGCTACATGGACCCATAATTATATACTTTATGGACTATATTCCGTCAAACCATTTATTTAACTTTTGACGTCTCGTATTCTAATCAATAAGTGATGTCCTAATGCGTTTCTGATTCTATTTTTTATAATAATCGATTTTATTTATGATGGTTTTCATCGTGAATGTGAGCGGTACGACATGTCGACGACAGCTGTTCCTGGTTAAAAACAATTTTCAAAAAAGAAGATATTGCTTCATTAGGATCGTGATATTGCGTTTGACAATTTGTGTACTATGTTAATGATACAGTGATAATTCCCGTTCATATGGAGAAGAATCTGACGATTCAATAAAAATTTATTACAATTATTTATAACTATTTAATTTATTAGACAGATATCAAAGTTTGTCGACTTGAATAATCTTCGTTACATAGTCTGTTGACCTGATAAATATCTATGATTGTATATAAATAATTACGGAACTTCGGAGGCATGCACATGTCAAAAGTTAAATAAATTGTCGGACGGAGTGTAACATTCATAATAATATAAAACACTATTAATTTAAACGTATGGACTGCTACGTCAGACGCAACGTGACACCTACGATGATTGAAGAATGGTCACCAAACTTATTAACGCGGAATCGTCTTGATGCGATCGTGTTTAACTATAGGTACCTGTCGCATTACTAAGTTGATTTGTCGTTGACGCGACCGTTTGCCAGCCATCGCGCACATTGTTTTTAAACCAGGAACAGCTGTCGTCGACATGTCGTACCCCTCATGGAAGTCTGGCATAAGGTCATTGCTCCATTAGATGCAGAAAAATATAGCCCACATTATCGACTAATATTGTCGATAGAGTTACAAGAACTTTATGCAACAATTCTTCCATGAGGGGTGCGATGTGTACAGACGCGGTTGGATTCGCAGGAAGCAGATTTGTCGAGCCGCGTTCGTAAGAACCGATGCCAAACGCTAGCCCTTTTCGCTCTTATGTTCATGGACTTAAAGATTTTTCTGATCGGCTTAATGCAATTCTGCGTTATTAAGTGTAGTGACTCCTTAAGTATTTTTTTGTCAGTTTTTGTTTCGTGGAACACGTGTGGCACTAACGACGACCGATGGATCTACACGGTCTGGCCTTACCACAAAATGATGCGGCTCGCAGGTGCCACCGTTTCCGCTCATACACATGTGGCATACTCTCAGGGTTGCTCGACCATCTAGCCGGACTATAAATTAATTCTATATTTTACTTCTTAAGTAGGAGAACAGTCAGCAAGGGCAAGACGATTGCCAATATTCCCCCACTTCGGATAACGCAGTCTTGAGAATTTTCAATTTGCAACAATTTTTCAGACCTTTTATCTTGTGGTTTACAATGTTTGTTGACGATGTTCGACATCGTAGTAGACCCAGCGCAACGAATCATATCTTTAACGCCTGAAAAAAAGATTTATTAGTTACTTTTCGGAAATGTATTTTATATTTTTATACACTCAGAGCTTTAAATCGCAAAAACCTGAAGGGCGCTGCCACTGCGCTCGTTACCTTGAGACATGTTCTATAATATGTCCATAAAGATATATAATGCTTCGCCTGCAGTGACCGCAGACTTACCCTTAAACACATTTAAAAAGAATTTATTTGACTTGTTGTGTGATCTGTGTATTTATGACATCAAAGATTATTTAAAATGAAAATAAATGGACAGAACCTCGTTCATAAGAATAACTGCTTCAATATATTTATAAGATTTTTGAAATAATTTATCTAATGTAATTATATCACTACAAGGACTTACTTTTAAATCACAATAGACAGAATGACTTTTGATACATTATTTAGAAGTTACACATACCAATTGATATTAATTCGAAATGCAAAATGATTTGTAATTGTAGAGACAAATGTGGAATACCATTAACATTTAATTTACCTAATTTTCCTCAAGATCTGTGTAAATACTATATTCTGGCAAATAAACGTATTCTATTCTATTCTATAAGTTGAAAAGTTGTTTATGCCTCTAATTTCACCAGCACCCTTGCCCTTTAAAAAGCGGAACGCCCCGTAATGGTCACATTACCGCTTGGCGGCATATATAGGTAAGGTGGCAGTACTTCCCTGACGTCCTCTTTCACAAAAAGCTCTGCTAGCACTAAAATACATTGTTGATTTCCAATACTTTTTGCTTTCGTTCTAAATCGTTACAAACCTTAAGTTCGTTGTCTTAGATCAGGCCACTCTATAGATATTTACATACAAAAAATAATCACCATTCAAATAATAGCCGAGCGATCACGTGTGGCTTTATATACCAAGAGGATTCTTACCTTTACCATCACATGATTTGTTGCCGAGTTTGTCTAATGGAGCTTTCGCGATGTTACAAATTTCTTTCTTTATGCTCCATGAATCATCTTCAACTTGGCTCCGCGTAACATATTGTGAATGCGCACCCGCAGTTTCACGAACCTCTGCAATACACCGTAATTTTTTTTTTTGCACGGTTACTAGTTACTTCAATACTTCATATAATAATAATTATAACGCACACACTCAACATAGACCCGCACTAGGGGAACCCCGTGTCGCGTGTGCAATGGACACACACATAGACAACCCAAAGTCACGAGAGAAGTAAATGTAGGCCGTACAAATATTTCTTCCAGCCCGGGAATCGCACCTGGCACCTCTGCGTGGCAGTCCAGCATG